GATGAGGAGGACCCGCGAGGAGGTGGACGCGACGCTCCAGATCGCCAAGCTGAACGCGGCCGAGCTGCTGCCCACCGTGCACTGCCTGGGCTTCGGCCCCGGGGCCAGCGCGGCCGCCGGCGACTTCTGCCTGCTGGAGCTGGAGCCCGCGCTGTGCGAGCAGCTGGAGGCGGGACACAGGTGAGCCCAGGCCGGGGTCTGCCTCCCTCAGCCTCCTGCCAGCCACCTTCTGATTTTGCTGCGAGGAAACAGGATGGGGAAATTGGGACAGAGAAGTGCATTGATTTGACTAGGGGCCTCACAGTCCAGCGCGCTCGCTACTTTTCCCGAAGAGTCCCCACCCCTGCTAGTCTGTTGGGTTAGCTGGACCGAGGAGATAAATAGGACTTGGTGCAGCTGACCTTGGAGGCCTGTCGGCGGAAACAAGTCAGGAAATAGAACCTCAGTGAAGTTTTGAAGATGTTAACAGTGAGGCTAGGGACTGCGCAGGACACTGCCGTTCTACCTTAAAGTCCAACAGTAATATCTGGTATTTACAGAGTTCCTTTGCCTTCCACTTATATTTAGTTCACTCAGACAATAGGTAGGACTGTTTAAATAAGTTTAAAGCCGTTTTTACGGAAGTAATTATGTAAGGCCCTTAAAAAACCCCACTTGCTTGGGGGTCACTCAGTGGGGATCTGAAGCTGTTTCTTTCTGTTTCCAGGTCAGCTACCCATTTGCTGCAAGACCATGGGTTAAAAAACAGAGTCGGCGGAGTGGGGATATACCTCAGTGGTAGAGTGTGTGCTTAGCATGCAGGAGGTCATGGGTTCAACCTCCAGTACCTCCATTAAAAAAAACAAACCCAAAATTAACTAATAATAAATAAACAGACCTAATTACCTCCCTCCCAAACCAAAAGAAACAGTCATAGGAGAAGTCCATTCTCTCTCAACCTTGTGCAGTCCCTGGAAGTGAGATACTGAGGTTTCTGGTTTAGCTCTCTTCTCCACTGTCGTTCCTCCAACACCTGTATTTTATTAGTTTGTTCTCTTGTAATCTTTCAATCTTTCAGGCTTTCAGTTTTCCTACTTTACTCACCTAACAGTATTATAGTTTAGCATCTTTAAGGGAACTAAAGGAGAACCTCACTCATGGGTTTTTGTCCCAGATGAGTTGGCAGAAATTTGAGAAAAGACTTCGGGTGTGAGGACTTTTTTTGTCCGCTTTTATAGTTAATCTAGCTGGCAAAAACCAGAAGGGCCTGAAAAGCGTGTGTTTTAAAATTTTTCTTGCTGGAGGAAGGGACAGTTGTTTTAAACAAAATATTAAAGCAGTGTAGAAATAAATGTTGAAGAGTAGGTACTTGGGACTATTAAATTTTTAGGACCAAGAAGCTAAGAAAAGAAAACCCTTTTATTCTTTTCACTTAAGTGAAGGCTTAGTTTTTTGTTTTTGTTTTTTCTTTTGGGTACGGGGAGGTAATTAGGTTTATTTACTTATTTTCAAAGAAGGTACAGGGGATTGAACCCAGGACCTCGCGCATGCTAAGCATGCGCTCTACCACTTGAGCTATACCCTCCCTCTAATGAAGGTTTAGTTTTAAAAAATATTTACAGTCTTCTATTTCAGGTTTTTAATTATTAAGAGAAGTGAATTGTGTATAGAGGATAAAATACTTTATAGACAAGGAAAAATAGAATCAACTCCTTTTTTGTCATCTCCATCATCTTTATCATTAGTTTTTCTTCTTCCACTTTTATCTTCCCCTTTACCTTCTTGCTTTTCTCTACCTGTGACCCTTTGTTAGAGACATTTAGCCTCGTTTGTAAATATATCATTTAAATATTTGTATTCAGTATTGCAGCTGTCTTTTCTCAAAGTCTCAGTTTCTTTACAGCATAAGTGATGGTTAAACCAGGATGTGCTCTTTTGATTGTTAGGTAATACTCAGGACAAGACAAGAAGGACCACTCCTGGATGGTACCAGGACCAACAACACGGTCATCATCTGGGAGCTTGTTAGTAATGCAGAATCCTAGGTCCCATCCTAGACCTACTGAATCCCATTTGCTTTTTAACAAGATTCCTTAAGGTGCCTGCGTAAGTTTGAGAAGTATTGCTTTAGCATATTAGAAAACAGACATCTTGACTGAAGCTTCCGGATGTTTTGTTTTGTACGCTTCCCAGCAGTTTGCACAAAGATACCATGTGACATCCGGCCTCTTTAGATGTTTTTTGCCCGTGTTGAATGATTTTTCCTTAATGAGGCCACCTGGTGCCCCTCTGGCTCTTAGTTGGCTCAGTCCTTGCCCTGTGAAGACCATCACTGTGCAAGGACTGTGAAAGCAGGGACCAGACAGAGCCTCAAGACTCAGTTTTAAATCCTACAAGCCTAGAGGATTTTGGAGCCGTTTATAATGAAGACATCCATTGGTGTCTCAATAAACCATGTATTTTGTTTCCCCATTTTCCTGCAGTCTTGTGATTCGTGGTGATAAAGATGAGCAGGCTGTGCTGTGCAGTAGAGACAAAACCTATGACTTGAAAATCGCAGACACTTCCAATATGTTGCTTTTTATTCCTGGTTGTAAAACTCCAGACCAGCTGCAGATGGAAGAAACGCACTGTAACATTATTCACACTGAGGTACTGTCTTCTGTTTCCTGATTTATGTGAGAATGAAAACACATGTGCTCATCTTGCCTTTCATTAAAGACTCCAGGTGTTAAATGTATAATCACAGAGAGTCTGAAAAGGTCTCCAGTGAAATCTGAAATTTCTCAGCGTTACTGTTTGTTTGTGTGGAGTCTTGTAAAAAGTTGTCTTTATTTTCCCAATTTGATTTTTAAGTACCAGATAAGTTGACCAATTTCTGAAAATCTCCTATTAGGTGACTCATTCTAAAATTTTTACCTGTTTTCAATCAGTTTTGCTGTGGGTAGGTTTTGAAAGGAGACTTCCTCAAACCATAACTAGTGCATTAGATCAGGTAGAGAAATGAAGACATTGAGTTTTTGAGGGAAGTGTATTTCTCACCTTTGAAGTTGGTTTAGTTTATTACTACCTATAGCCATGGATAACAAATTCTTAATTATTTTGGAGACTACTGATGGCAGATAACAAACAAACGTCTCCATCCTGGCTAGACTGTTACACCTATACAATCAAAGCACAGCCCTTAATTCTATCAGGGCAACTTTAGGCCAAGTATTTCCTAAAAACAAAATTGGGATAGAAATGAGTGAAACTATTGGGACATTTCAGTGATTCATAGGATGTTGCTAGAACAGAAGAACTTGAAGTAAATATTGTATTTGGTTTTTGTAGTGTTACATCTTTCATCGTGATTAACTGGAAATATTGGTGGTTCGTCCTTTTGTAAAAGATGTTATTTTTTCACGTACCTGTTTTGTGAGGTTATAAAAACATCTGTGAGTACCTTTGAGCTCTCGTAGGAATTCTGTGGACTGGTGCTGAGAAAAACTTAAAGACCTACTAACTGAAGTTTTAATCTGTGGTTGCCTAAAAAGGTTAGGTCAGGAATGCACACGAGCAAAGCAGGCTGGCATTGCTAAGTGGCAGTGGGTACCCAGTCTCAGGAGTAACAGGGAACGGTGGGATCTGTGGCAAATTGGAGTGCCCAAGCCCCAAGTAGGTGAGTGGTCATTTCTTGGCCTTGTGGGGAAAGCAGGCTCAGCACTGCCAGATCTTCTGGTATCTTTTTTCCAAATAAAGCTTACAATTTAGATTTTGGGGGCAAAACCTCTTTATTTTTCAGTGTTGGGAACTAATTTAAACTCTATACTGAGCTTCCCTTCTTCCCAGCACAAAAGCACACACCAGCATCTGTGCACTGGATAGACATGCCAGCAGGCTGCCGTTTGTGAACGGTGGATGAAATCAATCTTTCTGTTCTGGTCCTTAAGTTTTTGCTTTAAAGCCCTCAGATTCAGCAATATCTGGCTCCATCTGGTCCTTGTTTTGTCAATCAAAGCTTAGACCAGTTTGAGAGTAGAAGCATCCCCTGACCTTTCATTTTCGAGTTGGAGGGCACCCCAGAGATAATTCATTTCAGCCTTTTTTCATGTGAAACAGTTATTGGGCACCTACTAAGTGCTAGATATCAAGCAAGTCCTAGAGATACAGAGAGGGAGAACGGGTATTTATCCCCCACTGGATTTCCTTAAGTGATAGGCCTCTAACTCTTTCACGAGTCCGATAAGGAATTAGCTGCCATTCTAAATAGCAGGCAGTTCTTGCACTGAATAGAAGTCTCTCTTCCTTAACTTCTGCTTAATTTTGACGTCAAGAGCAACACCCAGCAAGGGTACCCCCTCTTTCCTTTAACATCCCTTCATTATTTGAAGACTGTGGTAATGTCTCATCTCTATTTTGTTTTTTAGCCTCAAAGTTTTTTTTTTCCCTAAAGATACTCCGTTTCTGTTGTTTCCGTGGTTTGCCTGTTTCTACTAGGATTGTCACCATCCTGGTGATTTTTTTTACTCTAGTTTCCAGAGTATGTTTGAGATTTGGAGCTCAGTTATCCATTCTCGCTATATTGGCAGTGTCTTCTTAATTGGGGTTTGAAAAAAGTGTTTCTAGAAGACAACCATCCATCTCCTTGAGAAAGCTGGATGAGTGCCTTCTCCACAGAAAGCAGAATACCTTGGCTCCCTTTTCTTGCTTCTTGTTGAGGGTGGGTGGGTTGGTTGAAATTTTATATTGCAATTTTCTTTTAGAATGGCCCCTAAAAGGTTATATTTTTGTAATTTCTAGATCTTTGGTTTTTCCAATAATTATTGGGAAGTGAGAAGATGTAGACCTAAATTAAAGAAGCTCAAGAAACTTTTGATGGAAAACGCCTATGAAGGACCTGATAGTCAAGAAGAAAAGGATTCCAGTCACCCAAAAGTAAGACTATTATTTTTGTTTTTTTCAGTTGGAATTTAAAAAATAAAACTCAAATTAGAGGCACTTAATGGTGACAGTCTTTCCAGAGTTTATATTGTGAAAATTTGAAACATACCTAAAAGCAGAAGGACCCCCACGTATTCATCACTCTATTGACCATTTATCAATCTTTTGTCCATCTCATTTCTTCCATCCCCTTGCTGTCCTCTACCTTTTTCCCCCCTTCTTCTGGAGTATTTTAAAGCAAATCCTAGATATCATGGTGACATTTGTATAGCTGAAAGCTTCTCATGTTCCTAACTATGAAATAATAGTTTCTTAGAAGTTCATTTTTATTTAATTAAAAATTATAATTAAGGGTTCTTGAGAAAAGGCATTAGGAAAATGGAAAATCAGAATGCACTAATTCCTGGAAGTATGGAAAAATATTTATAGACCAAGTTAAAAAAATTTAAGTTTTAAATGTAATTCAAAATTCTAGAATACTCTACTGGTATTCTGAAGGCCATATTTGTCTTAGAAGTTTGACTGATTGAACTCTTTTTCTTTGCAACAGCTTTATTGAGATATAATTCAGATACCAAGCAGTTCACTCATTTTAGAGTGTTTAATTCAATGGTTTTTAGTACGTTCACAGAGTTGTGCAGTCGTCACCACGATGAAGCTGAGAATATTTTCATCACCCCCAAAAGAAGCCCTGTGCCCTTTAGCTCCTACCTTCTGATCCTACTTCTCCCTCCTTCCCTCTCCCACCTCAGCCTCAGGCAGCCACTAATCTACTTTCTATTCATTTTTGCCTCTTCTGGACGTTTTATATGAATAGTTGTATTATATAAGAAGGGCCTCTTCTGACTGGCTTTGACTTCGCCTGATGTTTGCAAGGTTTATATTCATGTTGTACCATGTGTCAGTAGTTTATTCCTTTTTATTGCTGAATATACCCCATTTTATGGATATACCATATTTTATTCATCCTTCATCAGCTGATAGACATGTGGGGAGCTTCTGCTTTTTGATTACTTTGATTATTATGAATAAAACTGCTGTAAACCTTCATGTACAAGTTTCTAGTGGACCTGTGTTTTTATTTCTCTTGGTATATACCTAAGAATGGAATTGATGGGTCATGTGGTAACTCTGTATAACCTTTTGAAGAAGTGCCAGACTGTTTTCCAAGGTGACTGTTACATTTCCTCTATATGAGGGTCTCAACTTCTCCATATCCTAAACAACAATTATTATTATGTCTTCTCGATTCATCCTAATGGGTTTAAAAGGTTCTCATTATGGTTTTGATGTGCATTTTCCTAATGACTAATGATGTTGAGCATCTTTTCATGTGCTTGTTGACTATTTACCTTTGGGTAATGTCTATACAGAAACTCCTTTGCCCAATTTTTAATTGGGTTATTTGTCTTTTTATTACTAAATTGTAGGAGAGTTCTTTATATGATCTAAAATACCAGTTCCTTGTCAGATATGTGATATGCAAATATTTTCTCCTATTTTATGGGGTTTTTCCCTTTCTTGATTTTTTTAAAAAATTGTATAAATTAACAAGTACAATTTACCATTTTAACCATTTTTATCTGTATAGTTCTCACATTACATACACTTACATTGTTCTGCAACCATCACCACCATCCATCTACAGAAAATGTTCATCTTCCCAAGCTGAAGCTCTGTACCCATTAAACACTAACTCCACAGTGTCTCCTGCCTCTCACCCCCTGGCAACCACTATTTTACTTTTTGTCTCTGAGTTTGCCTATGCCAAATCTCCCATATTAGTGGAATCAAACAATATTTGTCCTTTTGTGTTGATGTTTTGAAGTACAAAAGTTTTCATTTTGATGAAGTCCACATTACTTTTCTTTCGTTGCTTCTGTCTTTGTTTATTTACTTTTAGAGTAAGTAGTGCATTCTTTTTGTTTGTTTATTTGGAAGGACATAATTAGGTTTGCTTACTTACTTACTTTTAGAGGAGGTACTGGGGATTGAACCCAGGACCTCCGGCATGCTAAGTGTGCACTCTACCTTGTTGCTTCTTTTTTTGGTAAAATACCTAAAACCATTGCTAAATCCAACATCACAAAGATTTTACCCTGTGTTTTCTTAGATAGCCACTGATTTTGTGTAGTAATCATTACGCCTTAACAAAAGAAATGAAGCTAGTGTACCTATAAGTATTGCCTTAATCTGTTCTATGTCAGTAAGTCTAAAAAAAACTCTTTGAATGCCCTAAAATGTGTTTTTTTGTTTTTGTTTTTGTTTCAGTATACAACTGAAGATCTGCTTGATCGAATTCAGGCAAGTGAGGAAGAAATAATGGCCCAATTACAAGTTCTAAATGCCTGTGAGATTGGAGGTAGTTTTACTTACTATTATTAAAAACAGTGGAATTGGGTATCAGAGAGAAATTTTTGGACATCTTCACCTGTTTATTGCTGTTTCATGCTATTTATTTAATCTTCTTTTGGGCTCAAAGATGATGACATTTTTACTTCTGGGTGTAGGGTACAGACCGTAGGTGATCACCTTGACATGAGAAGGTCAGTCTCCAACCAGCGACTTTATCCACTCTGTACAGGCCTTTTTCTTTGGACTAAATGGTACTAGAAGAACCATGCTAGATCTAGAAAGGTCTTACATATCAGGCAGTCGAATCCCTTCACTGTTTTTAACAGGTGAGGAAACTAAAGCCTAGGAAGGGAAACTGACTTGTCCAGGGTTCCATGTTGAGTCAGTGATAGAATAAGGCATAAAACCCAGGTACTTGAACTCCTGGCTCAGAAGCAATTGGATAACCGCATTGTATTGCCAAATTGCTTAGAAGATGGGATAACTCAACATATTTTTGAATATTTGTTAAATAGTTTACATAATAAACCTGAGTGAAAGATGTAGTGGTGTGTGTTGGTCTCAGAGGCTGATGGAGCAGCCCTGTAGTATATCCTTCAGGGTTTTGACTGGCTTCTAGTCTGGAGCGGGAGCTTTTTTACCCAGCATCTGGGCCTGCAGTAATACTTGAGTAGATGTTTGTGTGGATTTTCAGCCCTCATAAGCTTGCCGGGAGAAGCAGCTTAATTCTGCACCTGTGTGTTAGGAAGGAGGAAACTGGCCTGGTTCAGTGGATGCATTCTTCAGTCTGCTCGCGATCCTCCGAGCAAGATTAGCTTTTGTGAGACCTTCACTCTCAAATGTGGTGAATTCCAAGCAACTGCACACAACTTCAGAACTAACTGGAAGCACTTAGCTCTTTGTTGTGGTTCCCTGAGACACATTTGGTCCTCAGCATTGGAAATAAAGCTTTAAATTGTGGGTGCCAGCTGCTAATTACTGTGGTAATGTGTACCGTGAATGTTAACCTTAGAAAAACAACGATGGATTTAGTGTAGCCCTCTGCATTATCCACGTACTCTGTGGCAATGGATAATATTTTGGTGTGTATGTAGGGGGATGGGGGTGCATAGACTTTTCTCCCCTAGCTTTCTTTTTCTGTTTTACATCACACATTCCATTTTTTAACATCACCTTTATTTTTTCAGAATAAGAGTAGCAACATTCCCCGGTGGAAATGCTGGATGTGTACTTGATTTGTATCTCCAGGGGTGGTTGGTAGTGCCTTCGCTTATAAGATGGCATTTCATAACCTTTTACAGGAATAGGGAAGTGTATCTCGATGCTCAGCTTTTGTTTTGCCACTGGTCCACATCGTACTTCTGAGCCTGTCGTCTCTTGTATGAGCTAGACTGCTTTATGAGCATGAGAACACCTCTCCAAGATAGTTGATGTGAGGGTTGTAACCATGGCAGTGCCCACAATGGAAATGACTGTGTGGGATATCCAGCCTATGACCGTCACCTCACCTGTGTGACGTTCTAATGAAATGACTGTACCAGCCACAAGTTTCCACATTTCCATTTGGAACCACAAGGTTATTGTGAGATAACTGAATATAAAAGCACTTGGGAAAAAAAGTGTTAGTCAAATGTAAAGTACTCTTTAAAAACCACCTGATCCCCATTAAGACACAATTTGTAATGACTGGGAGAAAAGCATAAACAGAAGCATTGTTTATAAAGAAAGCTAAGACTTAAGCTTAGTGTCTCTCTTATGCAAGAGCAAGAGTATGCTATCAATCCACCAGCCAGTTAATTTGCTTAAAATGTTCTTTGGTAAATGTAACTTTTGGAACTTGTAGGTTATTGGAGGATTCTTGAATTTGATTACGAGATGAAACTTCTGAATCACATCACTCAGCTTGTGGATTCTGAATCCTGGCCTTTTAGTAAAGTGCCTTTGAGTATATGCCTTCAGGAGCTTGGACCACTGGAGCCAGAGTAAGTATTTTAATCACTGTCCCTCCAGATTTCCTGAAGGGGAAGAAAACTATTTTCCAGGGTGGAACTAAGCATAGGGCATAGACTTTACATTTCGATATAGAAGTTTTAAAACTATACAAGTAGGAAGGTCTTGGGAATTTTGGTCACTGGACTGAATAAATGTGCATCATTTTTTTCCTGCCATAAAAAATAAAAAGAAATTATTACGCTTAAGCTATTTTCTAATAATAAATGTGTGCTCACATAATTCATGTAAAAATATTTACCATGGGGTCTGGCATATAGTAGCTTTCTAGTATATTTTAGTTTCTAAGGTAAAGTTTTACTTGGCAACTAAAATCATTTAGTATTATATATATGTAAAAAGTATATAAATACATATATTTAGTTGTGTATATATATTACATATGTTCAAATTTATATCTTAGTTCCTAGTTAGCAGTGGTGTTTAAAATATGATGCATAAAAATGTGAAAACTTTCCAAATCAGTGTTTTACATTTTTCAGGGAAATGATTGAACACTGTCTTAAGTGTTATGGAAAGAAATACATAGAGGACGGTAAGATTGGGAAAGTATTTTAATTGGTATTTTAATTTGTGTGTGTTAAAACTGATATTGCCCTTTTCAAGTGTCTTCCTGTTAAAAATAAGAATTCCATGGGGGGGGATGGGCGGTTAGTTGTGTATAATTCCTTCTGTGAAACTGCATTGGGGAAAAGGAAACACTGGTGTAATTAACTGTCAGAACACAATGTGAAACTGTCTGATACCTTTTCTTTAGGTGAAGTTTATTTTGAATTGAGTGCAGATAAAATATGCAGAGCCACAGCACAAATGCTACTTCAGAATGCGGTGAAATTCAATCTTGCTGAATTTCAAGAAGTGTGGCAACAGAGTGTTCCTGAAGGAATGATAACTAGGCTTGATCAGCTTAAGGTAAAGCAGTGACGGTGATTATCTCCGTAACTCATCGGATTACTAGGTGAATGAAACCTTTATGGGAACTGAATTTGGAGCCAATTTATTTTCCTAGCTGCCTGTTCCAAGTGTACCCCATATTCAATTCATCACAAAATCCTTAAAACAAAACAAAACAAAACAAAGAAACCCACTTGACAGAAGTATCATTTTTCATGTCACAATTGAACCTAAATTTAATGAGTTACCAGCCACCAAAATCTGTTTTAGAACATTTCTATCACCTCACTGAGATCATTCAGGCCCATTTACAGTTCATCCTGGTTCACACCTGGTGCACCTCATTTTGTTCCATTTCTCTCCGTTTCCGCCACCACCATCTTAGCCAAGACTATCATGTTCGTCTGGCTCTAAAGAGCAATGGCATCCTTCAGTGGGCCTTCCGTCCTTTTAACTTTGCCCACCTCCAGTTCATTCTCTGTGCTACTACTAGAATTATCTTTAAAAAAATGCCGGTCAGATTAGATGAGTATCTTGCTTAAGTCAGTTTAATGATTTCCTACTGCATTCAAGATATAAAATCCAGAACTATATAAAATATATACAATCTTGGCCTGCAAGGCCCTGCATAATCTCCCCTGTAGCTTCAGCTCTTGCTGCTTTCTCTCCTGCTCCCTGCAGACCAGCCATCTTTCGGGTTTTCAAGATCATCAAGCTCTTTCCTGCCGTACGACCTTCACACAAGGCTTTCTGTTCTAGAATAAGCCTCTCCCCAGTTTCACCTGGATATCTCCTACTCATCTTTGAGTCAAATTATCGAGGAGGCCTTCCTTTACTCTAAATGCTTCCTGCTTTACTCTTCCATTGCACCCTGGATTTTTCATAGAACTTATCACTTAGCTTTGGGAGAACATTTCGTTATGTGGTTCCCTGCTCACCACTTTGATAGGATTTTTTTTCACTGCTGCTTGCCAGTGTATAGCACCCTACTTTGCATGGAGTGTATGCTCGATAAGAATCTGTTACATAAGTGAAAGGACTGGCTCAATATTTACGGAGTTCCTTTTGTGTCCAGGCACCATGCTAGATGGTGAGGAGAAAATGTCATGCAAGGTGCCATCCAGGTCCTCAGCCTGGGGACTGGCAATGGGGATGCACGTTACACGTATATATCTCTTCCTACAATGCAGAGCCATGGGAAAAACGCGCACAAGATGTTACGGGAACAAATAAAGGAGCTTACCCATCTGACTGGTCAATCAGGGGTGGTTTTCTGAAGGAATGCATGTTTTAGCTGCCGAGTTTGAAAGGATGACCTATTACTCTCCAGACGGAAGGGCAGAGACAAGAATCCAGGAGAGTATGTTCCAAGGCATGGAGGGATAAAAATTGGGACACATCATAGGGGTTCATGGCTGGAGTGAAGGGTGCTGGTGAGTTGGTGAAGGACACTATGGGTTGTGCTCAGGAATTTCAGCTCCATCTAGAAAGCACTTTGGGGCCATTCAATGGCATCCATTAGAAGAGCTACCCGATGAGTTTTGCATTTTGGAAAGAGCACTATGACAGTAATGAGGATGGATGGATTTTGCAAGGTTGACTAGATTATGAAAAAGGAGAACTGCCCAGGCTTTCAAAACTTAAGTATTTGTAACTAAGAGAGCACTGGCCAAAGGAATGGGTGATGGGGAATGGAGGGAGAAATGTTGAGGCCTTAAACTCTGTAGGATTTAGTGACCACTTAGAGGTGGGTTTTGAATAACGGAATCTAGGATGGTGCCTGGGTTTCCTGGTTTCCTAGGATAGCAAGCAGGACTATTGCAGGTTTGGGTGAAAAGCACAGTGAGTTCATATATAGATTTGGACATAGAGATCTGGTGCTTAGAAGAGGGATTTGAGTGGAAGATACAACTATTACAGTCATTAGCAACTAAGTAGCGGTTGAAGTCACAGGTGTAGAGGAAGTTACCCAGGACAGTGACAGCTGATCAAATACAGGGGTGGGACAGAGGCCCAGGGAACTACAACATCAAGTAAGGAGGAAAATAATAAGATAGTGATGCAGGCTTAAAGATTTAGAGGAAGGAGTGATCAACACTAATAAACTACATGGGGCAGTGAGGTGAACCCAAGAAAAGGCCCCACTGATTTGGTAATGACAGGTTATCGGTAACCTTTAGAACTAGAGCCTTCTCGGTGAACTGGTGGTAGTAAAAGCCAGATTATGGAAGGGACAGTAAGTCGCTGCTTAGAGGAGCAATTCTTATGAAAAAAGCTATTGTAAGTTCTGGGTAGTTTGTTTAAGTTTCATGTGGCTGACATTTTAAATACTTTGGGCTAAGCTAAACCTAAGGTAAAAGAATGAGTCATTTTTAAACATTAGACTATTACTTTAACTGTCCATTTTCTTCCCATTTCTTATAGGGTTTAGCCTTGGTGGACAGACACTCAAGACCGGAAATTATATTTTTGCTGAAAGTAGATGATTTACCTGAGGATAATCAGGAACGTTTTAATAGTCTGTTCTCTCTAAGGGAGAAGTGGACAGAAGAAGATATTGCTCCATACATTCAGTAAGTAATTTATTACAAATGGATTTTGAGGGTGGTTCATTTTCTAATGAGTGGCATGGGGTTTTAAATTATTAGAACTTTTTTTTTGAGTATTCCCTGAAGACACTGCTTTCTTCCAGACTTTCTCAAGTGGTGGCTGTCTTCTCTGTCATTCTCCACAATTCCTGATCCTGGAAGTGGAGTTATGTGTCATCTCTCTTCCTTACTGGGCCTTGTAGGCCAAGATTGTGTATACTTTATATAATTCTGGATTTTGTATCTTGAAGAATCACTGCTCTTCTCCCTGCAGAAATGCAACTCTTAGAGGGACAGTCGACTATATATCCCTTATGACTCTAAGACAAGCACTCCTTTCTGATGGCCACCTTCTTTCTTTCCCACTGCCTTACCTTAACGTTTTGGTAGAAGCCAGACTGCAGAAGAACAAGTTAGCCCTAAAGTCACTGCTTTCAGGACCGACCTCAAATCCACTAATGCTACCACTTCTTCACTGTGCGTCACACCCCTCGGGTCCTCTCCGTCCTTTTTACCTGGCTTGGATTCCAGGGTCAGACTTTCTAACTCTTACTGTACACACTCTACTCTTTGAGCCCTATCTCTGTGTCTTGTCATTATCTCTTTGCAAAAATCTGCAAAGATTAAATCCAGCTTTCTGCTTACTCTGTACCTGCAGCGGGGCAGCTGAAATTTCCTGGAGAAAACTAACACAATGGGGCTTGCCAGTCTCACTCAAGACCTCCAATGGTAGTTAGCAGGGCCCTTGGCAAGGCACCATGGTCTCGTGAAACTTTCTAGCCTTGGAACTCATGTTACATCTTCGTTTCTCTTTTTATACCAGCAACACCCCGTTTCCTCTTCACCCTCAGCTTATGACTTTGTTTCCTGGGAAAATGTAAGCAGACAAGAAAAGATGAGAGCTACTTTCTTTCCCACAGCCCAGACTGCCAGCTTCCTTGTGTCTGCACACACTTCTTTTGCAGTGTAAGGCATGAGCCGACCCTATTACTAAGGCCAATCCTCCTTCTGCAGTAGACCCATCCTCTCTGGCCTTGTTAGCATCCTCTGGTTATCCCTTCCCCATTGTGTTATCAGTATCTCCCTAACAACTGGATTACTCCCAGCAAGACTCGACATTCTGTAGTGTTGCTCATCTTAAAAAACAACAGTAACAATCTTTGGAACCCAATGTCCTTTGCTCTCCTTCACAAGAAAGCTCCTTGTAAAACTTTGTGTACTTACTCTCTGCTTCTTTGTGTCTCATCTTTTCTTAACCCAATGGCGTCCATCTTCCTGCCTTCAGTGGTCAATTGTCTGTCCTTGTTTACTTGGCCCCTTAGCACTATTTGACACAGTGGACCACTTCCTACTTGAAACACTGGCTTTCTCACTTCTCCCCCAAGGCAGCTCCTTTGCCATCTCTTGCTGATGTCTTCCTGTTCCTCCCTTTACTTACTTACTTACTTATTTCTGTTGGGGGGGGTTAGGTTTGTTTGTTTCTAATGGAGGTACTGGGGATTGAACCCAGGACCTCGTGCACTCTGCTGCTGACCTATACCCTGCCCCTTCCCAATCTGTAAATGTCGGAGTGTTCCAGCATCCTGTTCTTGGCCATCTTCTCTTCATTTTATATTTTTCCCTTGGTGCCCTTATGTAGGCCTGGATTTCATTTCAGTGACTTCCTAATTTATCTTCCTACTTGACTTCTTTCCTGAGCTCCAGCTTCTCATATCTAGTTCCCTAGTTAACATTTCCACTTGGACATCGAATAGGAATTGTTTCTGTTGTTGGAATTGTTGATTTCCCTTTGTCCAAACCCCATCTTCCTCATCTGAGTTAACCGCACTGCCATTAATCCAGTTCCTCAAGCAAAAAATCTAAAAATCATCCTTGTCTTTTTTTTTAAATCTCTCTTGCCCCCTGGTTCAGACTATGAGCAAATCCTGATCATCTCATACTTGCCTCTGAACTGGTCTCCCTACTTCTGGTTTTGCTCTCTACCCTTTTTAAACTTTTAGAAAATTGTAAACATTTAAAAATGACACTATAATATGATGAACTGTCTGTGTACTCACCACATAGCTTCCATAATCATTAACTCATTGCCTCCGTTATTTACAACTTAGATTATGTTATGCTTTTCCATGAATTAAAACCTTCCCAGTAGCTTCCCGTTATACTTATAGTTAAATTCTAGCTCCCCTCGTGTTCTTCAAGGCCTCATGTGATCTTGCCCTTGCTGCCTTCTCCAGCTTATGTCCTCACGTATCTTCCCTTCCCTCCTGATGTTCCAGTCAAAGTCTTCTCTCTGAGGTGCAGAAGAAGTTAAAGTTCAGATCGGGTAGGTAACCTAGACAAGCTCACGCAGGTAGCCTAGTATCCAGGTTCTCTGAGTCTAGACCCCGCTGTATCACGTTGCTTGCATTTCTGATTTGGAGGCTGTGTGTTATAATGGAAAAAACACAGACTTTGATGTCATGCAGAGCTGGCTGCAAAATTTGTCTCCACCCTTTACCACCTGAGCCTCAGTTTCCTCATTTGTAACATGGGGTTAAAAAATATATCACTCATACTCTTATCAAGAAGGTTGAAGATCATACATACATGTAATGTACAATTATGGCTTCATAACCTCTCTCTACCCTGTCGCTCCCACAAACACACACCCTTATGTTTGTTGGAAAGATGGATTTAGGGGAGAGATGTAAATAACTAGTATTGTGAACATTGTGTTATGTTCCCTAGAATACTTAATGATGTTCATTTTTGTTTTTATTGTTCCCACAGAGATTTGTGTGGAGAGAAGCAAACCATTGGTGCATTACTCACTAAATATTCCCGATCTTCAATGCAAAATGGTGTTAAAGTTTATAACTCAAGGAGACCAATTTCTTAAGGACAATAGTCTTTTCTTTGGGACTAAAGTGCTTTGTAAAGTTGCTAGTTGTAAGAGAAAGGTGTTTTGTTTTTTTTTTAATGTATTTGTGTTCCAGACTTAAAAACCTAGACCTTTGAGGCATTTTTCTCCTCATCTTAAGCATTTTGAAACTACTGCTCTTCTTTTTTTCTTAAATGTAATAGGATATCTTGTATCTTTCAGGTTATGTTTGTGTTATGTACACAGTGTAAACAAGGACAAAAAGTTTTATTTCCTATTTTAGTATTTCTCTGTAGTCTATATGATTTTATTTATAGAATAGTTTGGTTTTTTATATTTAAAATTACACTTTAATTAGGATTTGACATTCTAATCATTAATAAATTCAAAAGTTTTCAGAGAACTGAATAGTAAGTTTACTAGAAGAAAATTATTTATTCACTTAAATGTCATTTCTCAAGTAAGTGAGTTCCCCTTTAGTTTTGACCTTCCACCAAAACAGGAAGTCACATGATGCTATCAGTTATCTAAATTAGTTGTTTGTACTGATGAAATTGGCTTGACAGTTGCTCCTGTTCACCTGGCTGATGTACACATGCACTTTGGGATGAAAGTTTATGTACTCCCTTTTTGCTTCTTTGTCTCCCATTTGTTCCTTAACCCAGTAACATCTCTTTAACCAAATGGCATCTGTCCATCCTAGTAAATATTCTCCATCTTCCATGCAAAATGGTGTTAGTTTATAATTCAAGAAGACCCATGTCAATACTAATCCTATGTGAAGAATAGTAATAGAGTAGTTTATAATCCTATAATAAAGGATACAGGTAATACTCACTAGAAAACTGCAAGTGATTTCTAGCTGGTTTTGGAATGCTTGATAAAGCTCCTTTACATCTTTACATTCCTTAATGCATTTTCGTTTAGACCAAAGTTCAAATTAATTTTAACTTAGCTAATGAACTTGTCACTAGGATAGTTGGAAGGGATAAGCAAAGTTAAATCTGATCCAAAGTTAAAAGAAAAACAAGTGAATGGATAATACATAGTTAATCAAGATTTAACTGTTATTGGAATTTACAACTGTTTTATTTTCATGCACATGAAATGTGAATACGATGGCTTCAAAATATTTGGTGTTTCAATAAATTTTTCTGCATCATTATAATCCACTTATTTATTTGCTTTAATTAAATACTGAGGCAGCAGTGCCTAGTGAGGACTCTGGAATTTGAGTTAGACTACTTGAGGTCTAATCACGTATTTTACACTTAAGTCAGAGGGGCCCAGTGAGTTAATGGCGTCTGTTCACACAACAAACCAGAGGCACACCTCTCTTGGTTTCCTATGTCCCGGGTTACCAGCCCCAGCCTCCGGCTCTTAGCAAACTTTGTCCTCATACTTCTCAGTACGCTTGCGCTAGATCTTTACTCCTCTGAAGTTGTTTCTTCCTTTCCTTTTCCTCTTCTCGCGTCACGCACAAAACATCCCCGTCTGTTTTCCTAAATTTTAACAGCTCTCACCTGTATACGCAAAGGCAGACGCAAAAGCGCCGGTAACTCATGTAAGCCCCGCCCACTGACGAAACTTCCGGCTCCCGCCCTCACCGCCGTCCCACTTCCGCTGGCGTCGGAGGTCAGAGGTGACAAGATGTCGGCTGCTGGTAGCTGTGAGGGGCCTCTGAGAGGAGCATCCTCGTGACAGAAGCTCGGCGGAGACAGCTGAAGGAGCCGAACTGCGGGAGTGAGCTTGAGGCGGCGGCGGCGGCGGATCGGGCAGGGCCGGGCGTGGGTGCCGAGGGAGCCCCCGCCACGGGGCGTGACTGCGGGGAGCCTGGGGGAGCGGGGAGTGTCTGGTGCCTGAGACCGGTAATGCTCCGCCGCCCCCCGGGAAGCCGGGAAGCCGAGCTCCGCGGGATCCCTTCATGCCGCCGACTGGTTTAGAGCCCGCCAGAATGAACAGGAAGAAAGGAGACAAGGGCTTTGAAAGCCCAAGGCCATATAAATTATAAGTATTTTTCATTTCCCTTTCCTCTTCTAGGTTGGGTTTTCATTAGTTATGTTTTGTGATTGCTTGAAACTTAGTGGGCCTGGGAAACTAGAAGCCACTCACGGTGATGGAAATAGTGTTTGTAGGGTGAAAGTGTTTTGGATGACAGTGTAATTCAGCAGATTTACTGCCCCTTGCGGGTTAATAAACCTTTTCGTTAAAGTACTAAGCTGCATTTTTGTACAAAGAAATTTATTTTCATGGCTGTTAACTAAATTTAAAAGGAGCAAGTTACCCCAATTTATAGAGTTTTGACATGAAAGATACGTGTGATTTTGACCTGCTTGGAACGTAGTTCTTGTTTATACTTGAATAGAATTATGCATTATTTAATACTCAAAATATTTCCTTTATTTTTTAATATACAACCCATCAGGTGGTCTGCATCAACAACATAAACTTTCAGAGAAAATCTGTTGTGGTGAGTATATCCTCAACAATTATAAGCAATAATAAGTCCATCCTTTACAGCACTTAGGAACTTTCCTGTCCAGGTAACTGTTTCAAGAATAGGCTAGAGCTAAAATTCATACTGTGTGAGTTCAAGGGCCATGCCCTTGCTCCTATACTGGCTGCCTCCTCAATTCTCTCTTTCCTTTTTTTTTTTTTTCCCTATTTTCTGATTAAAATTTTATTTCTTTTAATCTGTTACAGAATTTGAAAATCTGTATTACCAAACATTTTAAAATTGTGTGCTAAATAGACCAAAATTTTAATGAGAGCTGGTTTTCTTTGGTGGCATCAGTTTCCCTCTCAAACTTGTTTACTTAAGGTGAACTGTATTTAAAAGTGTAAACTTTTCATTAGGATTACAGTATCTTAGATTTATAAAGATCCTTAAAGGTTTATTAAGTCCAATTTCCTCATTTAAGGAATTTCTCTTTCAAAATTTATTACCTTGTATTTCATGGAAGGATACTTTAGATGTGTTGTATGAATTGGGTAGGGAAGATATGAGAATTAAAGAGTTAGTTAAGAGGTTACTGTAACAATCTGGGGTAGAAATGGTTTAGCCCTGAATGGAGATATCATTAATGAAATGGCATAGAAATAGAGTGGACATGATTGATTTATAGTGGACATTTATTAAATACGTACTGCGTGTAAGACCATCTTAGTAAATTTTGTGCATAAGAGCCTACTGCCACACTTTTCTGTATACATGGAGGCATGTATAGGATTGTGTGTTGATAAGTATTATAGTTAGGGAAGAAAAATCTAGAATATGTGTTTGTTCTTTAAAGGCAAATTACTGTCTCCCTCCATAATACTGGCTGTCTAGCCATTTTATTTCGGAGTAACTCACTGATCCTTCTTGGGAAGGCCTCATATTAGAAGTTTATCTTGATCCTCTGCTGTAGAGAGGTGGGCACTCAGCAGTGGTGGTAGCCAGAGCAGCTCTGCGAGGGGAAGACTGCGTTGTTGGGTTCGTGCATCTCCTCCCTACCTGCTCAGTGACCACTTTTATATTGAGCAGGGTGGCTAGGGAAAGAGTCTGACATCTACTGGATAGATAATCTTGCCAGTTGATTTTTGAGGGCCCCCCTCTGCAATCTCTGAGGATGCCCCTGATGGTTATTTATGTGATAACATAAATATTTTCATATTATACCTACTCTGAGAAATTCATTTATACACTTCTCCCACCATCCACTTATTTACGGTCTTTTAGTCTTGTTCTTTCCACATTCCTAACCAGCTGGCCAATGCATTAACAACAGCCCATGGATCAGTATATATGTGTGCTTCAGGTCATCTCTCCTTCTTTAACAGTGTACAACTAGATGTATTTCCCAGCATTCTGCCCATGGTACAGTTTTCTTCCACTGTGTTTCAGGACCATACCTCAATGGGTTCCAATGGCAGTTACCATCCACTTCCAACTTTACTAGCATCCTGTGCAGACTTATTCATAATTCAGGCTTGTGCTTTGTCCTATTCTGTTAACTAAGCATGAGGAACTCTCCATGAGGCTGTAGGTGTGATTTGAGGGAGAGATGGAGATGTACTGGGAACAAGTCTTACTGGATTCTGAGTCACCTGCTCATACTGTTTGCTTGTTGTGCCTTATAAACCTCCTTGGGCCTGGTCTGGAGGAGTTGTTTCCATTTAAAAGTAGAAAGCTGCTGCACATGCCCAGTTTTATTTTTCAGAGCTTCATGTTATGCTGAGTTCATGATGGCCATTTCAGGTAACTAAAATTACCTGAAGTTTTTGGGTGTCCAGGGTCATGTGTTCAGTTTCTACTGCAGGGCTTAGTAGCAAATCCATAGTTGCTTTGCAAGTGGAAAATAGTTGTTGGCAGAAGAGGTCATGGGTTTACTCTTAAATCCCAGGAATGACAGTACACTGTCATTCTGTTGGAGGAAGCTAGAGTTAGTAAAGCATCTCTGTCTGCTGTGGATGTTCTCAGTACTGTTGGGTACCTGAGTCATAAGGTCCAGGTGGCAGGGCAGTTTGAACCACAACCAGGACCTACTGTCTAGGTTGCCTAGTAAGTCATATACCTTAATGTGTATATTGCTTTCAGAATCCAAAGAAGCCTCCCAACTTTTGTGCCTCTTTTTTTCCCCTTCTTGTTGGGCAGTGCAAAGTGAAGCAACTTATTTTTCACTTTAGAAGGCTTATTTTTATAAGCTTCAGACCACTGGACCTTAGAAGCTTTATTTATGTGATTGATTGAAACCCCTACTTTCATAGGATTTAACCCTTATTCTCTGCCATCCATACATTTTTTTTTTATTAAGTCATTTAGAGAACTTGTTCCTTCTTTCCCACTAGATCCAGATAACATAATGCTGTCCACATGACATACCAGTGCAATTTTCTTTGGGCTGTCCTACAATCAAGGGACTTTGGGGCTATGTTTTGAGCAGGAGAGTTGATATAGTTTTTAGTTCCTAGGTGACAATAAAGGGGTTCTGATGCCTTGAAGACAACCTGCTTCTGAAGTTTTTTTCTTTCCTGATAGGAATTGGGGAAAAAGAAGCATTTACTTGATAATTAGTTGCAATATTAGCTACTAAGAGCTGCACTGATTTGCTGTGGTAAAAATACATCTGCAAACATGGTTGTGATTGGCAAATGTGTGATTATTCACCATCATTCTCCAAAACCTACTTGACTTTTGCTTTGGCCAAATAATTGAGTTAAATGAAGATGTAGAAGGCATCTTTCCAATCTCTGGTGGCACTAATCTCTGCAGTTCCCCAAGGAATGACTGGTTGCATTGATTTACTATCTTGGGGAAGGGGAATGGGTGGTCCAGTGTTATCCACTTAGTCCTTCCACTGTAGTCCTTGCTCAGAGAGTGAGGTCAGAGAATGAATATGGGGATTTGCCAATTTCTAAAATATATGCTGTATGTCCTGGGACTGGGGAGATAAGTACTAGTCCTATTCTGATACAGACTTGGGAACCCCTTTATTGACCTCCAAAGACTTCCACTCTGACTAGTAGACTATTGTATAGTTTTGGGACTCTGGCGATTAGTGTCAGTTCAGAACCAACATATAATAATTCCAGGAAATGGGCAAAAATTAATTTATTTGAGGTGACAGATCTCAAGATTTCAAAAGAAAGATAAGTGAGAGTTGAATGTGTTTGTAGGCATGGGAGAAAGTCCAACAGAGAGAAAAGATTGTAATTACAGGAGAGGATAATTAATAGAGCAGGATTTCTTTTTCTTTTTTGTTTTGTTTTGTTTTTCCTTTTCCTTTTTTTTTTTAAGCAGGGTTTCTGAGAATACTACAGAGGATGGCCTCTGTTGGAGTAGTAGAAGGATCATCCTCAACAGGAGGGAGAGATAGGTATGTGTAGCAGAAGGGCAAGAGAATTGACAGTTGGCAGAGTGGTTCAAGTTAAGGATCTTGGATGAACAGGGAAGAGAGTAGCCTTAAAAATATAGGGAAGGATTGTGAGACTGGAGGAGGCCAAGGAACAGGAGAATTTCATGTGGTTGAACAGGAGGACTGGCAGAGAAGTAAGAAGAGGAGCAGAAGGACAAGAATTCAAGTTTAAAACGTCAACATCAGAGCAGTCCTGAGCAGTGATGAGGTGTCTTTTAGAGTGTGATCTTGATTGCTATCCTGGAATGGTAGTGGAGATTGTAGGAACTG